ATAGAACTTTTCTAATGCGAAAAAGTTTCGCACCCTTTACTGTGCGAAATCACCCATGGCCGTCCGATGTGGTTGAACGGCTGAAAGAAACCCAATCAAAAAGTGACCTCGTGACCATCAACATCTCGTGACCATCAACATCTCGTGACCTCCATCATTCCGAAACCCAGAGCCCTCTCTCTCCCCAGACGAAACCTCCGACCCTCTCCTCCCTTCTCGCCGTCGAGCCCAGAACCCACGCCCTCTCCTCTCTCTCCCCAGACGAATCCTCCGACCCCCAGAGCCTCCTCCGACCCCCAGAGCCCTCTCCTCCCTTCTCGCCGTCAAGCCCAGAACCCACGCCCTCTCTCCGTCGAGCTCCGCAGAACCCACACCCTCTCGCCGTCGAGCAGCGCCGACGCCCTCTCGCCGTCGAGCTCCGCAGAACCCAAACCCTCTTCCTTGAATCAGGTTCGTTTTCATCTTCTTGCTTGATTTAGGGCTTTTGCCACCGTTGGTGTTCTTCTTGTTAGAATATGCGTATAAGCTCAGGGTCACCGTTGGTGTTCTTCTTGATTTAGGCTTTTTAGTTTTGATTTTGATTTATAGACAGATTTCATTTTGTTGAAGACAGAATTCATATGATCCCATTTATTTGAACCAAACATAAATTGTATCCAGACGGAATTGTTTGTGGAGGTTGGATCTGATGATCATTTTTAAGTTATCAGGGTTCTTCTACATCCAGCACATTTAACACCAATCCATTGTCACCGCGTTCAGCTTCTCGTGATTCAGTTGAAAGTAATTCTTCAGTACCTGATCCTGCTGATTGGGATCCTGATTACAGGTACTGTTTAAGTTCAATCTGATAATTGCCATTAATTTGATCTTAGACTTGCAATTCTGCTCAACAGTAGTTATTATTGCATCTATATGGAAGTAATGGGTAAATCCTTTTTCTTTTTCCTTTTTCAAGTATGAAATGTATGCATTATTAACATATGTAAGGGTTCTGTCCAACACGTTATGTAATTCTGCTCAACACGTTATGCCACTCATTACGCCTTTAGAATTGCAAATAAACCTTCTAATGCTGAATGATCATCAGAGATTTGTGAAGGACAGAGACGTGGAGGGCACTGGCGGCGTACACTTAACATACCTGCTGATATCAAACTTAAATGTAGACCTGGCTATAACTTCATATGGATGCACATATTCTAATTTGCTCTTTAGTATGATTGTCTGGTTAAACTTTTGGTTAAACTTTTGTATCTGTAGCCGTGGATCATGGAGTCATCTTCAAGCAATCGTCGTGCACTGTTGTGCCATTGTGGAAGGAGGGCTGTACTCTCCAGATCTGGAACTAAGAGGAACCCCGGTCGATTGTTTTTGGGATGCGCGAATTGGAGAGAGAGTAATTGTGGATTCTTCAAATGGGTGTCTGATGAAGAGGAGTTTGAAGGTTCAAAGGCAGAGCTTGTTCAGATGAATCAGTCGAGCGTGACGCCACAAGTTTCAAGAACCGTGTCAAGTGGGGAAGTGTGGGAAAGGAGAAAGCTTTCCCTTGATATTATGGATTTGTTGAAGCTTGTTGTATTTGCTTTTTTATTTGGTATTTTTTTTGGATTTGTATTTTGTTTTTTTATTGGATTTCTACTAAGTAGGGTGTAAGAATGTATTATTGGAGCATTTATAAGTGATGAGAGCAATTTCAATTGCTCAAGGTTTAACAAAGTTATCAGTCAACAGAAGGGCCCAAACTTTCTACTTTTATTCTTTCTGGCTTACTTGATGCACATGCTAAATCTTAATTCTTTAGCTGCAGATATTTACAAAAGCTAAAGGACACAAACTATCAGATAAGATTTCCTGGATACAGATCCACATAATAATTAGAAGAATGTTCATGGTTGATACACGGTGCAAATTAACTATCCAGCAGCTATTAACTATCCAGCAGCATAACTATAACATGCATAACTATAACTTTTGAAATGAGATGGGAATGCAAGCAGTTAATACACGGTGCAAATTATAACATGCAGCATAACTATCCAGCAGTAGCAAACGTCCAAGCTATTAACAACAGAACCAGGCAACTACAACATGCAGCAGTAGCAAACGTCCAAGCTATTAACAAAGCATCATGACATAAAAGCAAACTTCACAGTGCAAACCTCTGCATGATGCACCATAACTATCCAACCTTTCATCACAAAGTCAGCAACAGAACCACCAAAAGATGAAAATAAGCAACAATAAAATGGAACATCATTCACTATCCAACCTTGATCAATACAGAGAAAATAAGCAATAGTGTCTCAATCTTTCATCACAAAGTCAACAACAGAACCACCAAAAGATGAAAATAAGCAATAGTGTCTCAATCACTTGGGGTACCACACAAATACATAACCAAAAATACAAAACTAAACCCATTGGTGCTCTGCCTTCATCAACCCCTTCTCACCAATAGTGATGTGATTTTCTCTGCCAACCTTGATTAAACTTCACGCAATAGTGAGAACTTCATCTGTATTAAAAAAATTAAAAAACAAATTGCTTCATCACATTAAAAAATCATATTATATAATACAAATGGCAATGTACAAGTTATTCCGTATGTATTAACCATTACCTTCCTCAAATGAATCTTCTAAATCATCCGTGGCTTCATCAATGTTATCTTGTTCCATTGAATCACTATAAAAAAAATTGATTATAGCAAAACATATTAAAGATCATCGCACCAACTTAAAAAAAGTTTAAAGAAATAATAACTTTAGTATTACTAAAACAAATGATACACTACCTTGACAACTTTAGAGGGCAATTTCTGCTATCATGATTTTGTCCTCGCTTTCCACACAATTTGCATTTCCTAGGCCGGCATCTACGGATCTCTCTCGATGGCTTTAACCTCTTCCCTTTAGGCCTTCCTTTTGTTCTTGCTTGACTTGGTTCATGAACTATATCTTGAGAACACTCCTCATCCACATCTTGTCCAATTTCTTCATCATTGATGAGTTTCAAACGTTGCACCTTATTAATAGCATCCATCATCATTTCACGCATTAATTCATATGCATCATTAGAAGATAGCCCCTCTTCGACCATTTCATTAGCTAAGCAATTTAGTTCACTAAAACGAGAAGCAAAATTAATTGTGGCATTATCTCCAATAATATTACCATCTCTAAGAACAACCCTTTTTCTGACATTTCGGCACCATCTTCTTAGAATATATTATTCCGGTAACTCACTATGATTGGTAAGTTTAAGATATGCCAAGATATGTCGGCATGGAATGCCCTTGAATTCAAACATGAAACACGAACAACGGACCATTTTAGTTGTTTTGCAATATATAATATGTCTCAATCTTTCATCATGACCACAAAAATTTAATTGGAAAGTACTTTCTCTTTCATTTTCTTTTACTAGCTCAATGTTATACATTAAGCTAGGTTGAAGCTCGTCTTGAAAAATATAAAAGATTTTTTTCGTGTAGATTTGGGCCATTTGTTTTTCCATTGACCATAAAGTCTTCAATTTTGGCTTTTTCTCTACTGTGCAATGATCTTCTGTAAGCTCCCCCTCTCTTTGTCTTGCCAAGACCCTCTGAAATATAGTCACGAAATCATGAAGTGAAATTTTCCTTGATATATGTTTTTTTAGCAATGCATTCATCCCTTCACTTCTTTGACTGCTAGACATGCCGACCCAAAAGTATTGTTTATGATAAACGGGAGCCCATTTTTCACGAATTTCATAGATATCATTTAGCTAATCATGCTTTTCCAATCCATTTTTCTTAATAATTGAAACCCATTTCTCTTCAAAAGAGCTAGCATCGTCGGAGTCCCAAATATTTTCTTTGAAAGGTTTCATAAATTCCGCTCTATAAGCCCATTGACCCAACTTCTCCGGAACTTTATCCAAGATATGCCAAATGCAAAACCTATGCCGAATTTCTGGAAAAACTGTTTCAATTGCCTTGCATATTCCAAGACATTGATCTGTAATTATGCCCGAAGGAGGATGACCCATTGCTTCAATCCATTTGTTAAACAACCATACAAAAGACTTCGCCTCTTCGTTTGGGATCAAGCCACATCCTAAAAAAACACTTTGCCAATGGTGATTTATGCCTACAAATGGAACAAATACCAAGCCATATTGATTTGTGTTATGTGTGGCATTGAAGGAGACAACATCGCCAAAGTGTTGATAATTCATCGAGCAATGCCATCCACCCAAAAACAATGAGTTAAGCGCTTCTCTGCATCAACTTCATAAACATAATAAAATGAAGGATTCTTCTCTTGTTCCGACTTGAAATGATCCAACATCATTTGTGCATCATGACCACGCCTCTCCTCTCTCAAATCTCTTTCATAATTTCTCACATCGGTCTCAATGCATCCAATTCTATGAAAACCTCCGCTAGAGTTTTCAAAGAAGGCCATTTGCTTGTTTGTTGGAATGTTCACCTCTCCAAACTGCTTTATTAATGTCTTCTTCGCACTTGTGACCTCACGGTTTCCCCTTAGAAAATGTGTTCTACTCGGTGAAGTAATTGTATGATTATGTTCTTCCACGAACTTGTAGACACTCCATATGCCAATGTTTTTGTCGAATTTGAAGCGAATCAAGGCCTTACAATTTGTTCTAATTGTACCACATCGTCGAATTTCCAACAATTTGCTCTTTAACACTCATTCTTTCGAACAAACATAACTTTTGCAAATTAACTCTCTATCCTTCCCATAATTTGTTGTGCTATTACGGATATCAAAACCTCCGACCTTTCTGTAATTTCTGTAGAATTTTTCAGCATCTTCTAAACTATCGAAAGTCATTCCTATTTTTGGCTTTAAGTGTTCATCAACAATTGGCACAACTAAGTTATCTAACTGGGATATTTGTTCATCAACAACATGGGAGCAACCATCTTCAGTTTCTATTGGATCAGACATCAAGAACAATTTTTACCTACAAAAATTAACATCAACAACAAACATCAAGAACAAACCATCAAAGACTACTGTGCACAAACATAAACAAATATCTTTCATGTATAAGACAAATCTTTCCTGTAAACAGTTATTATATGGGGTGTTTCCCGTAAAAAGTTATTATCTGGTGAAGCATCTCATAATTGACAAAGACTATTGTGCACTAGTTTAACGGCGCTAATCTACATAATTGACAAACAAATACCGTGACTTGCATCATTCCAGATATTGTGGCTAAATTACCAACTTAGGGTAATTAGATAGGTCAATTTGGGACTGATTTAGGCAACACTCAACCAGGACTTGCATTATTCCAGATATTGTGGCTGTTATGTTTTTTTCATATTGTCCATTTGCCCAATTGAGGCTGGAAAACTTTGAATTCGGTCCAATCCTCTTGGAGTTGTTTAGTAAACGATGGAAAAAATAACAAGAATAGCAAGAATCAAGCAAGTAATCGCTTAAAAAATAACAAGAATAACAACAACCTCGAAAGTAATCGCTTAAAACATCAACAACCCACATCAAAAAGCCCTAAATCAAGCAAGTATTTAAATTTCGCACCTGATTCAAGCGTCGAGCAGAGATTGGGTTCTGCGGATCTCGACGGCGAGAAGAGAGGGAGCAGGAACTGGGGTCGGAGGAGAGGGTTTGAGTTCTCGACTCGATTCCAAGTAGGAAGATCGGCGCTTGAATCGGATGAGAGGGCTCTGAGGTCGGAGGGGAGCTTGGGGAGAGAGAGGGAGGAGAGTCTGGGAAGCTGAAACGTGGTCACGAGAAGCGATTCTGAAAAGTTATTCACACGCTTTAATGAGTAGCGATTCTCAGCCGCTCATTCACATCCGACGGACGACGTTCAATTCGCACAGTAAACTGTGCGAAAGGTTTTCGCATTGGAAAAGTTCTATATATATATATATATATATATATATATATATATATATATATATGTAATGTATATAATATATATGTATATATATATGTGTATATATATATATAACGAGATAATGGTATCCTTTCATTAGGAGGGGATTCCTCCTATGATGCCTCTAAAATTCACATGATTGAGCAACATTGTAGAATGATCCGCTCCGTTGAACTTGATCTACATATTCTAAAACCCCAACACACCAAGTTTGGGGTGAAATCCGTCGCGTTTGACCCTCCATCGAGCCATGTGAAAAGTTCTATTCATTCAAAACCGTTAAAATTGATACGAGTGGATGAAGGGTCAAACGACGACGGGGTTCACCCAAACTTGGTGTGTGGGTTTAGATATGTAGATCAAGTTTAACAGAGCGAATCTATCCACAATGTGCTCATCATGTGATTTTAGAGGCGTCATAGGAGGAAATCCGCCTCCTATGACAAGGATACCCATTAATCTCATATATATATATTATATATAATATATATATATATATATATATATATATATAATATATATAATATAATATATATATATAATATATATATGAGAAATATGGATATGCTTGGTAGTGAGGTGGCACAATCCCCTCCACTTATTCAAATGGGAGGACCACATTCACATGTGTTAAGAAGTGCATGAGAATATGCAACCATTTGAATGAGTGGAGAGGATTGTCCCACGTCACTACCAAGCACGACTTTTTGTGTTTGGTACCAAACATACCCATTTTTCTCTATATGTGTGTGTGTGTGTGTGTGTGTGTGTGGACACACACACATACATATGCATTCATTAAAGGTTGAGACATAATAGCAATTTAAATGGACGGATTAGATGATATGATGCGTATTTCATGAAAAAAAATGAATACCCTATAGTAAAAGATTTTATATATGCATATGATGTTTTTGTATTTGGATTCGATCAAGAATATATTTACATTAGTAAGATTTTGGTTTTGCTTTAGTGTATACCCTAGTAAAAGATTTTATATATACATATGATGTTTTTGTATTTGGATTTGATCAAGAATATATTTAAATTAAATAGCATACGTATTTGATTCAAAGTTAGTATTCATTTTGTCATGAAATATATAAGAAGTCACTTATGTGTCTTAGATTCTTAATCTTTTTTTTCCTCCAAGATAAAATCTCTGGCTCTATTCCTGCTAATAATCTCTCGAATATTGTCACCTTCACTTAATGATGAGACTGAAATGAATTGAAATTGAATGGTAATTGACGTGTTCAAGTTTGTACTTATAAAAAAATTCTTCAGATTCGAATTGAATTCAATTTTTCCTCTTGTATTTCTTCTGAGTCCAAATTGAAACAAGAACATTTAAATTCATTTAAATATAAGAATAACCAAAATCATTTGATTTTTAAACGATCTCCTAGTAAGTCATATATAAACAGAAAAATAAAATAATAATAATACTTAATAATTATTAAATAAAATTCAATTCCCCTATATCATTCCAGCACGCATTTGTCGATCAGACTGCTACCTGGAGACCTCATCTTACTCAAGCATGGGCTGTACGCTATTGTCACAACGAGAGAAAGGTGAGACCAAAATAAAAAAAAGGAGAATAAAATAAAATAAAATAATATGAGATCTTTTGTGCTCTAAATTTTGGCATCTACTATATAATAATTATAACTTTTGTTCTCTCATATATTATGTAACCATAAAATATCTCCACATTTATTAAACACTATAAGCTAATACGACTAAGTACTACAAGTTTGACTGTAGTGTTCCCCTTGTAACAATCCATCCTCTCATGCTTTGAATTATTTCATTTAGATCCTCAACAAAGGTAAAATTTGTACAGAGTTCCTTGTCTGTACTAGATGGAAAAGGGTCATCTTACCATAGACCGGTAAACCTCATAATTACAAAAAAAACTCATCGTGACCTTTTCACTGTTAATTTCACATAACCTTCTGAGCTTTTAAAGTATTATGTGTAACCTTCTAAATGATTTATCTCATATAACCCTGTAAATTTTTTGGTGCATCACAAGATCCTAACATTTCTCATTGAAAACCTCAACATGTAATTTGCAAATAATTATCATGTTCTTGATAGAAAAATCTCAAAATTTTGTTATTTGCTATTTATAGGAAATATTAATCATCATTAAATTGTGGGGTTTTTTCTACCAGAAATTTTATTTGTTGTAAATTATACGTAGGGAGGCCGGTGAAGAAAATTCAAAGTTCATGTGACATTGTGAGACACCCAAAACTTCAAGGAGGTTTTCAAAGATATCCCAAGTTTTGAAGGGTTATATGAGATAAATAAAATTTAGAAAAATTATGTTAAAACCCCAAAATTAAGAGGGTTTTTGGGAAATTAAACCTTTTTTAACTTATGAAGTTTCTTTACATTTTCGGGTGGGTGTGGACCAATTGAATGATG